GTGCGGTCTTAGATATTGAATTCAAGTAAAACCAAAAGTATGGTAATATGTATTATTTAAAAAATCATAAAATCAGAACTTCTGTTTATTTAACTTTGGTTTCAGACAACATTAGCTAACGAACTTAATTCCAGAATGATCTCTCCTACTAGTTAATCAAGATGGATGACAGAATTTTTATAATCTCAACAAATATCCAACACATATCTAAATAAAACAAAATTTTCACATTAAAGTATAATGTTTGTTACATAATATGAATAAGGAACAGAAATTGATTTTCGATCGGTATTAGTGATAAGCCGCCAATTACTTTTCCTCAATATCCTCTGATTGGCATATTTCTACGTAATGGTTCTAATAAAGAATATTCCCACTAGCGTTGCTTGAAATAGGTTGCTCGCTGAGGATGATAATTAAAGATGGTACTTTCCTTTATATTGTTTATTCGTCCATTTGTTACAAAGTGAGACTTAATCCTAACTTATAAAATATTATATTTTAATGTTAATAACTATTGCGAAACCATTCTATCGATGTCAATCGTTTCTGCAACGTCGCTTAAACATGTTGCAGTCACTTGCGTGAATTAAGTATGTTGCGGTGAAACGACAACATTGTTTATGTTTCAATATCGACAGTATATCGTGGTGAAGTCTATATCGCGTCAGGTTACTATAAAGTAACAAATTATTTGTTGATACTAAAAATTATCGATAATTTTTTAACTTTAATTATTTTCGAAGGATTTTTAAGACCTTTTTTCTAGATTAATTGTCGGTTAAAACCCTAGCAAAATTATAGTCATTGCAATCACACTGATTCCGATACTTTCTAGGGAAAGATTTTAGCTCACATTTATTAACTTTAAAGGAGAATGTGAAAAACCTGAAATAAATATGTTTGTATAGTTATATTATTGGTATGTATAGTCCATACCTAATATATATTATATTTACAAAAAGAAATTTTTTATCAAATTTACATTTTCAATGCTATACTGATCAATATCTCTAACGATTTTTTACGGCATTTTTCATTATAGATATTTAATTGTTATCTTGCAAACTAGCGAAAACATTGCATTACAATATGGACAATATGTGTAGTTTTTGTAGAACTAAAAAAGAGTTTTTGACTAGATAGTATTTAGCATTATTATTTTCCCAAAAGCTGCTAAGATAATTAATTTATTTTCTATGAAAAATGCCACGTATACTATAAATTTGCTTTCACTGTAATCGACAATGTTTTTATATCATGTACATTTTGCCATTTAGCAATTTAAATAGCAATCATTCTAAACAAATTATCATTTTTCATGATAATTCTAAACTTATTTAAAATAAACTAAAGTTTTGTTATTCATCGGTGTCGATTCTATCTTTACATCAAAAATATTCCATCTATACCGCTTAATTATTTTTAGCTTCCGTACATACCTTTTAAATACAACAAAGCTTCTGTTAGTGGGTATTAGCTTATCAAGATCTTCGTGACTGTACCAATTAAACTTAAAAAATAAAAAATCAGCTTTACTCTGCTAGCTTAAAGTTGAAATTTACGTAATTTAAGCGTGGCGATATGTGTAGAGGTTGTGATTTTAAATTATATTGTGTCTTAAGGTAAATAAAATGTCATTATAAATAACTTTATAAAAAAAAGATTATCTAGTTTAACCAAGATATGGAACAATATAAAATATACACAAGTATACCTAAACTATGTCTATGTAGTTCACGTTTTTTGTACCCGTTTAAGACTATATTGCTATAATAAATTAAAAAAATAGTTTTGCTAGGCCTCAAAATATCTATGTTACCAAACATCTTCACAATTGGACGAGAGATTTGACCTTGAAAGCATCATAGACAGAGTTGGTTTTCATTGTAATAATATTATTGATGGATAATTATTAACACAAAATAACTGTCTCACAAAAGATTAGTTACGTAACACGGCAGCCCTATCTAGACCATAATAAAACGTCAACTGCGATGATAAAGTCACTATCTATATTTCAAACTATCAAGTAGCGTTATACCATTATCTGAACCTCACCACTACTTTACAATTCCAACAGCGAATTAGCTATCATCGTGTGTGATCCAATACATTCCACGGTTCCGTTCCATGGTTTACGCTTCTTTATGTTGATTCGTCCTTATCTATATAAAGATAAGAGTCATAGATATAACGTGTTGAGATAAGCTTATAGAAGGGCGGTCCGCATGTCGATTCTGGAAACTTAAGTTTGTATCGCGTAGGTAGTAAGCTCCAATCATCAAGCATTTTAGAAGTTTTTATTTTTATTTGGTTCTAGAACTGTTAAAAGGAATGAAATTAATAAAATGAAAAAGAAATAGTATAATTTAAAATTACTCATTTAACCCTTAACACCACTCGTGGGGGACTTAAGTCCCCCAGTGCTCGGTTTTTTGCAAATTATACAAATATTTTGACCGCGATGCGGTAGTGGTTTCGAGTATTCCCAGTGACTACCGAAAGCTGTTGAGGTGCAGATGTGCGTCGTACTAGCGTTGGAAGTTTGTGAGGTACGTGTTGTTGTGGGACCTAGGTCCCCCACGAGTGTAGTAACGTAAGTATTTTATGTTGATGATAATCTTTTTTATCTAAATTTTTTTAGGTTTGTGGTGCAGTATGGGTAAGAATTTAAATGCCCTGCAGATAGAAAGGCTACTAAATGACGTCAGTATAACTCTAGTGTCTTCAATGCACCAAACCAAAACCACAAACCTGAGATTGTTACAATTCTTCCAAAGATGGCGTAGATGCTTTAGACCAGAATTGTGCTGCTTAGTCTGTGAACCGGAGAAGTCAAAGATATTTTGCTTAGTATTGAATATTTCCGGAGTGTCCTTTACAGCGCATCTAATCCTCAAAAAAGCAAGAGAAATATTAATTATGATTATGAAAACCTAAATGAAAGCGTTAATTTTCATAGAATATATGTTTTTTATTTATTTTATAAAAATAAATCCTAAAATATTCAATATTTTATTACTTTAATATTAACCACAAAAAGTGGGGACTTAGCTCCCCCACGAGTCACGAGATATGTAGGCTGAAAATACTGAGTGGTGTTAAGGGTAAATGTCATTCATCTTTCCTTTTTTAGGTAATTGTAGGTTATTTATAGTTGAAATGTCTGTGTTACAGAAAACTTATTTAATTTTAAAGGTTTAATTGGAAAAAGTTCTTGACATTGTCATGAATATTTAATCTTATTCAAAACAAAAACAGTTGAAATCGAAAAATAGATTTATAAACGTGTCGTTTTGTAATTTAAATTCCTAATGTTACTTTTATATACTTTTATATAACTTTTACATTTGATTAACCTGTTTGATTTTGTAGGCGTAGTGGCGTAGTGGATAAGCGCCGCGGCCCGCGATCGTAGTCGTTAAGCAACTTTCGCAAGGGTTGGTCACGGGATGGGTGACCAAAAAATTATTATCTCGAGCTACTCCGTGCTTCAGAAGCACGTTAAACCGTTGGTCCCGGCTGCATTTGCAGTCGTTAATACCCTTCAATCCGCACTGGGCCAGCGTGGAGGGTCATGGCCCATCCTCCTTAACCATCCATCCCTTTTACGTCCCGAACGAACGTAAAAGGGCTAATGATGATGATGAACCTTTTATTAATTAAGCTATATTTTTTTACTATTATGTGAATCTTTGTTCTGACTTTCTGAATTACAGTCGTTGTTGTGGAAGCACATATATCTTCTTATTACAAGACGTAAGGTTTGTACTATGGACAGATTTGTGAAAATTCCTACCCGAAGGGAGTCAGTAAGGGTGAAAACATTTGTAGGGAAGTTCTTTTATTTTTTAACTTTATAGCAATAAATATTGGGATATGCATATGTAGTATAAGATCCTGGGAAAGTAACAGGATATATTTTATCCAGCACATTAAGGGATGGAAATGGGTGTAGAAATTTGTACGGGGAATTAAAGAGTTATCATATGTGGTATTATTCGATTTATCATTGTAAGTTGCGCAGTGGTGAGCACGTTTCGTCAGTGATGCAGAAGTAAAGCAACTTTCTCATTAGCCGATCATAGGATGGGTGGCCACAAATGTATGTATGTGTTCTTGAGCTCCTTCATGCTCCGACAGGCATGTTAATCTGTTGATATTGGCTGCATTTACACTCATTCTATGATACGTGTATATGAGAAGTGATGATGATGATGATAATTATAGCTATTGTAATTATTCTTATTCTTGATATGCCACTCCTATTGGAGTTTGAACAGCCTCATGGCTATCTTAATTTTGAGGCTGCTCGGAACAGGCCTGTAGTACTCCATTCAAATAAATCCCTTAAATTCTTAAGCAGGAATATCACCTTCTTCCATCACTGGGTTTTCCAATAATTTTCCCCTGAATTATTATTGTAATTAATCAGCCTAAACAAGGTGATTACATGAGCTTGAATGTGACGATAATAATTACATTCAAAACGTGCCCATTTCTTTATAAACTATCACCGAAGTTAAGCTTATTTGCAATGCGTATAAGCTACTGTCGAGTGCCACCACATAACATATTATTACGAGTTCGGTTGAATATTTATGAGGGTGAAACTATGCTTCAGTTTCTGCATAGGTATTTAGACTCCATGATTGAATGCCTAAAATTATTCATGGTTGTTCTTGTTTTAGGAGTGCGAATGTACATTTTCGGGTAATTTCCATGCAGTATGGCAAAATGGCTGATGTAGATTACATTTAGGTGTGTCAGTTCGTATAAAGACAGGCAAAACGTAATTGTGGTGAAATCATTTCGCGTTGGTACATAACCTATTATATAGATTATGAACGAGGAGCAGGAAAGTACCATTTCTGTTTACTCCTCCTTGCGTCGTTCATCCTCAATGGTCTTGACCTCGTTGAATTACTCTCTCGTGGACTACTGTTCGCCATCTTGCCCTATCTTCGGCGATATGGATGGCCTCACTGTCTGTGGTGTTAAGTGTCGTGCGGATTTTGATCTGACCAACGTAGAGGACTTCTTCCTCGTGGTCTTTGTCCATCTTTTCTCCTCGTCATAAAAGTTTTTTCGAGATTATCGCCTTCTTTTCTAGCGATGTGTCCAAAGATTTCGTAACTTCGCCGTAGACAAGTGGTGGATAATCTCATTTTTATCTTTACTTCGGCCAGAACAGATGTGTTGGTAATAGTACCAACACATCCAACCAACACAGAATTCACTGGGCAGAGCATAGGCTCTGCCCGGTGAATTCCGAGCATCTTTTTCTGTTTAATATTCTGGCAAATGACAACAAAAGAAATGTGAGTCAGATTAGGGAATTATTTACGACACAGGCATCGTGACGTATGTCAGCAGAAGTGCTAAAAGCAGGGTTGGTGTTTTCTTGTTTTTAAAAGAACGAATTTAAAAGAAACATTTGAACGAGTTAAGCGTGTATGTTAATTATTTTTCATTTTTAAACTTTTCATATCCTTTGTCTATCACCGATTCCACTAAAGAGCCTGCAAATGATCATAAAATAAATTCTACAAAATACGATTGATTAACCACGTTTAAAACATTTTAACGCAATAAAAAGTACAAATTCAAATAAAGTTATCCATTATTAAGTTACACATTACAATCATAACATATAATCTTCAACCTTAAAATTTGGTTACTAAAAATCTAACTTAATCTGACCGGTCTAATTACTACAGTATCAGTTGAAAGGATATAATAATTGAGAAAGGAAACGATAGTTCTGTAAAATTAGTTGTGTTATATTCTATTACCATTTTATTATCGTATCTTAAATTAGATCAGAAAGCGATGTAGTAGAATATTGGAATTATTACCATGATAAAATCATGTTTTCCTTAACTAAAAATAATATTGGTTTCATTTTTGAGAAATTATAATAAAACTTAATAAAGATAACACAAAAAGTAAGCTTATTATTTTAATCGACTTCAAAATCCAAAAGGAGGAGATTATATGTTCGTCGGCTATGTGTGTGTTTTTAATACACTTTTTTTTTTTCTGTATTTCTAATTGAATTGAATTGAATTTGTTATAATGGTAGTGACATAGTTTTTATTTTCTGACATTTTTTAATGGTTATAATAATGATTTAGTCCTAAATAATAATTATTTTAATTGCCTGTATTTTGAATGTAATAATTAAATTAAAATTAATTAATATGGTATTTGCATGCTAGTGTAATAGCTAAGTGAGCTGAACTGTAATTTTCTTTCCATCTTTTATAATACCTCATTTAATAGCAAATAAACGATTACTATTACTATTACTATTATAATAAGACGTAAAAAGTTTGACTAATAATATAAATCTATACTAATATTATAAAGCGGAAAACTTCGTTTGTTTGTTTGTAATTAATAGGCTCAAAAACTACTGGACCGATTTTTAAAATTCTTTCACCATTCGAAAGCTACATTATCCACGAGTAACATAGGCTATATTTTATTTTGGAATAAAATAGGGTTCCTTTAGATAATTGGGTTTTTCGGACACAAGGAGATAAAAATCAACCAGAAAAGTTACTTATTTTGCGCACGCTGCCTAAATTATAAAAGATAAAACCATAAAATGTTCTAATTAATTGTAGATCTTATAAATATGTACAAGAAAGTCCGCGACACTATACCTATCTATGTCGAGTGAGGCACAACAACAATTTTTTTATATAAAAATCTTGGATTTTTTTGGACTACATTTAAACGCATTTATTTTACTCATGCTCTTAATCCTTATCAAAATAATTTATTTCATCACTAAGTACAGTTTTAAGATACAGAGATATAAACACTTTGAAATTGGCACCACACGGCGATGGAGATCTATAAGTAATATAATTTAACCCATAAGTAATATCGGTAACTTATTAAGCGTTTTAACGAAGCAAAGGCTTTGTCAAAAAGAAAAAAAAGATGGTATTTCTAACACAAATATCTCTAAAACACAAAATTACCTAACAGTTAATCGTTTCTATTTTATAAAGTGTAACAGTTTGAATACGAGAATTGTATGAAAATTCATAGTCTTATAACATTCTACATTTTATATCTGAATAAGATACAAAGTTATCCAGTACAACACAGAAGATTTGAACTTTTGACACCGTTGTCATTGAAAAAGCTCATTCGATATCCATCCTAATTCGTAATGTTTTTCATGCGAGTACGTGTCCCGGATCCAAAATTTTTGTATCAACAAATGGCTACTAAATAAAACTATTTAGAAGCCATTTGTTGAAAAGAAATCAATGACTTACTTCAAAAATGATCTGTTCTGTCTTATACTATCTAAAACAAGTAAAAATTTTTAACGAAGAAATTATTTAAAAAAATATTATATTAGCATTATTAATGCATAATTCACTACAATATCAATTAATTTATGAATGAATATACTTTATTGTACACTATTACAGTCATCTGGAAACATTACAAGCAATAACAAACACGAAAGGTAACAATTTCTTCCACGCAAACTTTGGCTAAAAGAAATTATGTCAATTAAGAAGTAATAATACCAACTAAAATAAATTAGTTCATAAACAATCTCAAAATGAAACGGTGAAAAAACAAAACTCCATGATCAACGTTTTCGGTGACGCCGAAGTATAAATACCGGTTGGTAACAAGGGCCCTCTCTAAATGCTACTACAAAAACCATTAAGATTTACAATTCCAGTTCCATTACAGACAGATTTCTACCGTGAAAGGATTAAGTAAATCTTGAGGCTCAAATATTTTAATTGTACAAATAAACGTGCCACCTAAAACAGAGTCTGAATTCTGGCCCAATCTCAGTGGGTAAATAATAGACGGTAGAAATTTCAGCACTCGAGATCTCGAGTAAGCCCGCCATTGCACAAAAATCCATGCCATTAGGAGCGGGGGAATATTAATTTTTTTTCTCGGCTTTCTAATCCGCACACCGTTTGTTGGGCTTTAGTGATGTTCTTGTGGTGCATTTTTTTGGTAGTTTTTAAATTAAATATTTAGAGAGAGGAGCCTTTGTCAATGATACTGAGACTGATAATAACTTGCAATAATTTAAGTATTTTCAACGTTTATTTCACTTGCCTTCTTAGTTTAGTTGCCATTTTTAGTTAAACAATCAAATAGAGGTTATAAATGTAGAGTCTTTATCATTATCATCAGCCTATCTATTTCCCTTCTGCTGGAGCACAGGCCTTTCCTATGAATAGAATTCAATGAAATTGACAAGGGGCATTGAACGCGGAACAAGTGCGGATAGATTGTTGTTAACTACTGCAGATGCGACTGTTATTAATGGCTTAATGAGCTTTCCAAAATAAGGAGGTGCTCTGGATATTAATTTTTCAGTCACCCATCCTATGACCAGCACTTAATAAAGTTGCTTAGCTGCCAAAAGCGATAACCAATGCGCACTCGAGCTTTAAAATATGCAATACAATAGTCTAAATATACTACAACTACAGGCTATGTGATCGAATAGCTTACCTTCAGAGTACACTTTTGTTTAAGTTGATAACCAAATAGTTTGACAACAGTTTGGCATAATGTTATGAACAATAACAAAACTATTATAATGAAACTATTTGTAGAGTTCACATGAACTTAAATAGCTTTGTAGTAACAGCATTTCGAAAGTTTTTGATAACGAAGAAATATTGATGACTCAGTGGTCGAGTGACTCGTTCGCCGGTTTCCGATCTTTGATCTTTCTAGTCTAGATCTCTGAAGTTCGATTCCTATTCATATCAAAAAAATAAACGTCTCTGTATTGACTCAGATCTGAGTGTTGATTCAGATTTTCATAATTCAAGTGTTTTAGGTACTTCATTAAATTGTAGTTCCATAATGCCAGCCCTTTTACGTCCCCACTGCAGGGGCTCAGGCCTTCCTTATGGATGGTTAAGGAGGATGGGCCATGACCCTCCACGCTGACCCAATGCGGATTAGAGGGTATTAACGACTGCAAATACAGCCGGGACTAACGGCTTAACGTGCCTTCCGAAGCAAGGAGTAGCTCGAGATAATAATTTTTGGTCACCCATCCCGTGACCGACCCTTGCGAAAGTTGCTTAACGATTACGATCGCGGGCCGCAGCGCTTATCCACTACGCCATCGAGCTACTTATAATACACGTGTTTTAGGAAATTTAGGTATTAAAATACAATATTAAATTAAAAGCGTTTTCACAGCGTCATGGGATAGTAAATGCAGCCGGAACCAACGGCTTAATGTACCTTTCGAAACACAGAGTTCGAAAGACACATTAAGCCGTTGGTTCCGGCTGCATTTGCAGTCCTTAATACCCCCAATAAGCATTGGGCTAACGTGGAGGGTCAGGGTCACAACAACAAGGCCTGAGCCCTTGTAGTGGGGACGTGAAAAGGGCTAACATTGATGATGATAATTCTATTGATATAACTGAAACAAAGAAAAAATAGCTGAAACAAGATACTAAATCATTAAATATCACTAGATATTCAGTAACATTTTGTGTTCCGAAGCTCGGAAGAGCTCGGGTAATACATTTTAAGCCCATCGTAAAATCAGCCTATGGGAAAGTTACTTATCAACCGTATCGCAGAGTTTCTTATGACATATACATTATACATATTAATATATGTCCTCGTTTTTTTTTTCACAACTTCACCATATCTCTCTCCTCTCTCTCCTCAATTTTAACTCGATTAAAAATACAGCTAAAATCGACTAAACATTTGTAATTCTTAGTCTATTTATTCCGGTAAATGTCTGGTAATCTCTTATTATACGATGTAATAAAGGACAAGGAGAATCGTTTAATTATTCCATACTAATATTATACATGCAAAAGTAGGTTTGTCTATATGTCTGTAACGCTCTTATGCCTTGTCTACTAAACAAAATTGATTTGAAGACATAGGATATAAGGTGTTTTTTATTGTGATAAAAGTGTTGAGACATAGTGAATAAAAATGTGTATGGGAGTTCGTCATTATCAAAGATAAAATCATAAAACTGTATATTCAGGTATTTTACACGATATAATGAATAAATATTTTTTTGCGTTTTTAGAAATGCTGCCTGAACCAGAGTAACTGTACTAAACGAACGAAGTTGCCGGGAAAAAATAGTAACATATAATAACCGACCTGTTACCGAGCCAAGAGAATAAAAGAAAATACTATAGTTATATTTCAAGAGTGCGCACTTTCTGTTTGAATCTCTGGGAAGTAGAAAAGAAAACAACAAAAGAAATGAGTAAAAGGTAAATCAGAAGGTCTTCTGTGTCCGAATCTTAAGGATGTAGGTGGGTGTTTCCTTCTATTCAAAATTTAAGAAAATACTTTCTATGTGAAAATGTTGCCACATACATAAATCTTCTTAATATTAATTTAAGCCTGTGTCCTTTAGTTTATCCTAGAACGGCCAATTTAACTGTTAAATAAGACTGTTTTTTGAAAA